CCACATCATCCAACCTCAACCTTACCCAACAACCAAAGACACAGCTCGAGGAGATGCGCACGACGTGATGCCAGGCAGTTCACAAGCCTCTACAGACATCTTACAGCATCGCTTTAGTCTGCAGGCAGTACTAACAAGGTCTCGCGCAAACTGTACTTTGCACTCAGTGCCTTGTCTCGAAGCAGCCAGACGTTTGTGGGTGCAGCCAAAGGGGCGCAACAGGAGTAGTAGTAGTAGTAGTAGTAGTAGTAGTAGTAGCAGTAGCAGTAGTTGTTGTTGTTGCAGCAGTAGAGGTAGTGGTAGTGGTAGTAGTAGTAATAGCAGTAATAGCAGAAGCAGTCACACTACTACTGCTACTACTACTACTACTACTGCTACTACTACGACTGCTAGCAGTTTAAGTATAAGTAAAATAAAAAACGCAGTGGAGGTGGTAGAGGCAGCAAGATAGCATAGTAGCAGAGGTCGTAGAAGTAGTAGAGGTGCAGAGCTAGCAAAGGTAGTGCAGGTGCTAGAGGAAGGGTTGGAGGTAGTCGTAGCCGTAGTAGAAGTAGTCGTCGTAGTCGTGAAGAGTGCCAGTAGTCGTGGCAGCAGCCGCAGCTACAGCATCATTGAGAATGTTGTGTCTGGACCAGTAATGCAACTCAAACGCTGTTCCATGCTGTCCAGGTGCTTTGCTGCATGGCCTGCTGCATCTCGGGGCCTTGCATGGCCCGCTGCATAGCTTCCATCTGCACCAGGTGCTGCAGAAACCCACTTGAGATTATGTACGTGGTAAATATTTATAGAGAGTGTACGATAACACATAGTCTTTTACAAGTTACATACATATATGCATGACCTACCCTACCAAACACTACAATACCATACATTACGTTTCGTTACCTTGTGTTACACTGCATTACATGGTAGTACATTGCATTGCATTACATTATTCTTACATTACCATACATCCATCCATCCATCCATCCATCCATCCATCCGTCCTTCTGCGCCTATGCAGATGTATACGTATACATGTATACGCAAATGAACGTACATGTATCAGCACACGCATCTGAATCTGCATCTGTATCTGTAGATATGTAGACACGCATAATAAAACATACATACATACATACATACATACATACATACATGTGCGTGTGGTCCGTATGTCCGCCCATCCGTCCGTCGGTCGGTCTGTCTGTCTGTCATTCTGTTCTGTCTGCCTCTGTCTGTCTCTGTCTGTCGCTTGCTTTCTTTCACCAGGCTTGAGTGTCCGCCGCTGTCTGTCGCTGTCTGTCTGTGTCTGTCTCTGTCTCTGACTGTCTCCGTCTGTCTGCTTTCTATTGATGTAAAAGAATGGGCGAATCCCCATAATTCTGCCAGCTGATAACTGTTGCCTCCTGCGGTCCGTCATCTCATTACGTTTTCGGACATGTTCGTACAAAGCCAGTTCGAAGTCTGTCTGCATCAACTTCTGTGGCAACATACTAACCATGTGTTTCTGATCCCAAGCAAACCCTTCTTGTCTCGGCTCCCGGGCATTCCGCCGATTCTGCTCCTCTGCCATCGTCGCCTCAACCAACTACGAAGCAGGCAGCTCCCATACATTGCAAGCTGCAGTCGACGTTTGAGTTGCCCTCTGCCTGCACAAGGCGATGGATGCCCTCTCTTGCTAGTGACTGCGGCTGGCTGCACAGCAGCTTGAAGTCGAGTACTGACCTAAGGTTTAGGATTTAGGCGTCTGCGACTTTGGCGCATGATTGTTGAGTTATGAGGGTAGCGCTTCAGTCGCGAGACTGCCAGTTTGATCGCGGTGTCAGTCGGCCGGAGGGTTCCACATTAAGGGGCCCAGCCAAGGAAGCTTGCACAAAGCAGACAATCTGCGCTGCTTAGCTCGGAACTGCACAACCTGTGCATGCGTATGCCAACAAGGCTCCGATGAAGCGCAGCCCATCCTGCCGGAGCTGCTCGGGTGGCTGCCGAACCCGACTTTGAGCCCAAAATAAAGCTGCGTGGCCCAACCTTCTCTGCGATACAGCTGTCATCACCTATCTGAATGCCTCATCCTTCAAGCGCTCCTCACGGAACCCCGACAGGCCGTGACAGCCTTGACGAACACATCTGCAAGATGTAGTGTCCTGACAACCGTAACCTTGCCTTCGCAACGAAATTTGGATAATGAACTAAACAGCGGACAGTCCAGCTAATGTGTCGCACATGGCCAGGGTGCGAGGAGGACTGAGAAAGACGGTCGCTCTGTCAGGTCCCAACGAATGCAGTGATCCACCACCTGCAGCTAAGGAGTGAGTGAGTTTGGAGTTTGGACGGTTCCCGAGTCCCCTGGAAACATGTTCAAAATGAAAATGGAAGTGAGCTGGATCAATTGGTTGTAGTCTTACCATGGTGATGGCGACTGTATCTGCTTAGCTGATCTTCCAGTTCCTGGCCTCGTGCAGAAAAACTCGCCCCGCGGAGGCAGAAGAGGCGGCGCTGGTGCGTAGCTGCCTTCGGGTTTTGATAGTGTTCTTTATGTTCTTTGTCGAAAGTGGGAGAAGGGGTTTCATCCCGCACGTCCACTCCAGGCAAGGCAACTCGATTTCGCAAAAATAAAGGCTCGAAATTCTATTGCATTCCATGCTGTCGTGTTATTTTCTATCTGCTTGCTTTGGGCATCCTGTCATATCTAGACCTGGAAGACTCAGAGACTGTCTGGTTCGGGGCCTTCACTTCTGTGAGCATCTTAGCCGACGCTGTGGGCAAGACCGCAGCAGCCCCAAATCGGAAGGTTTCGAGCTTCTGCCAGGCAGCATCCGCAGTTCTCGTATGGGTTTTCTCGGGGTATATAGCAGGGTATTAAAGTGTATGCTTCCATAGCTAATGTGGCTTGCACCTGCGTCCATGGCCCACAGCGGCCACAATCCTTGGCTCGGCATTCACTGACGCACGCGTTCTTTCGAAGCAGGGCCACAGGGAATGCGAAAGGCAGTGCAAATATCCACATCGGAAGACATTACGATGGTTTATCATACGTTCTCCTCGCCGCGAGGGCGAGCTCCGGTTACATCCTTCAAACAGAGAACAACGGAAATGGTTCAAACCTCCTGTAGCACGCGCAGGGCTCCAAGACTTCTCCGGCCAGCGGCTGCGCGATCGAGAAGTCTCCGTAAGGCACAGCGCGGAAGAGCATCTCCCACAGCAGGAGGCCGAACCTGATTGCCCCTTCTTTCACTTGCACCTTTAAGCTCTCCCACCCTCCGTCAGAAGCTTTGAACCCGAGTGAAAACGGAGGCCTTTGACTTGCCCCCTTGGAGCCCTCCTCTTGCGAGCAATTTGCGAGTAGACATCCGAAGCCTGTCGGATCTCTTGGCCACGCAGGACCTCCCGGGTACTTCGCAAACCAGAGATCTGTGCCCGCTGCCTCCCTCCGTTGGATGAATCCTTCCATACTCTTTGCTCATACAGCAACGATCACCGGCATCCGCTCCCTGCCTCTGGAGCCATCCAGTTCACTGGACCTGGGTGCGTCAAAACATGCTGAGAGGCGAATCCCTACGGATTGCTTGATCGAACAGCAGAGCCAGGGATCACAGGAATACGGAATACTGGGCAGCCCCACATAGGGAGTACTTCCGCACCACCTCCTCCACACCTAAGGCACAGCGCTTAGCCTGCGGTCCACGCACCTTCGAAGCAGAGAGACAGTCGAATCGACGTATAACTTATCTCTTTCCATTCCAAGTCTTAAAGAAATCGTTTGAAGGGCCTGCAACGACCTTTGCCAACCCCAGCGCCACCTGAGCCATCGTGCAAGAAAGAAACTCATCCAATATGCCTAGCCTTGAGCAGCAGCTGTACACTGTGCACTTCTTGCAGCTTCGGCTTGAATTAATGGAGGAGGCGGGCTCGTTTTGCACCGGTGCTTTTGACAAGCCACCACGAAGTTCCGCAGTTCACCAGCCTCGCGATGCTGTCGCTGCCTCGAAACGTGCTGCGGCAAAACAGCAATCTACTTGAGGCCTGGTTCTTATGATGAAACAACACCGCAGGAAATCTTTTTTGCTAGGTAAGGTGGTGCTAGCTCAAAGGTCAAAAATGGGAACAAGCGCAAGACGAGCCTCTCTGGGCAAGCAAAACGACGACCAAGACAAAACATCCCCAT